AATACGACAAAAATTATGGTCAGCAATTTTACTTGCGAATTCGCGTGAACGAGGGCTGCAGCTAACAGTTCCTCGAGAACAAATAGAATCGTGGTATAGCGATAGACGACACGGCTGGGACGTGGTCTATCCAGCCGGGTTGCATGACTCCGAGCTAATTATTATAATTCCCAAGGCGACGATGCCGCATTAAAAACTAATATCCCTGATGGGAGGTCAGAAATTAATCATCGTCGCAGCTGAACGTATCCAGTGACCCACTGAGACCATGGACACTGTCCGGAAATAAGTAACTTCTCGAAAGGCCATCGGTCTCTCCGGGACCAGCCTGCACGAATACAGCGAATATGGCCAACTTGCGAATTGAAACGAGCCGAGTTCGTTGACCCAAAAAGAGCCGGAGTTTGTTGGCCTGTCCAGTGATTAATGGTCAACCGCTACGACGTCATCGTTCCAAGAATTCTTATATATTTTCAATATAATCGATGCGCTTTTAAATCGACAACATCTGTTCCCAACGGTTTCTCAGATGTTCGCCTCGTTCGGCTCGTGATACTTTTTAGCGGCACAATCGATGAAATTGGTCGTCGTGAAACGTTTATAGCGAAGTAAGATTTCATGGAGCTTCGAAATTCCTTTCAAATCGTTCAAATAAAATTGTCATACTGAACATTGAACTTGTGTTATTTCAAATATTCCAGAATTTTGATCGAAAGTGCTTTTCAGATTTAAAATTGACTTTTCCAGAGAAAGAAGAAGAAAATCCTATTCTTCGAAAAATTCTTGTACACTCTATAGTATCGGTATCGATGGTTTAATCAGAAATCCGCGCGTGATGCGATAACTTCGGCGAAATTAAAATTCTTTCGGCGGATAAGTCGTAAAAGTGTAATTTCCGGGACGATCGCGCGTCGTAACGCGAGATAACGATCGCGATAACCGATTATAGGTCTGAATTATGAAGGAAGTTTTAAACTGCCTCGCCTTCATTGGCAAATGCAATTAATTAACGAGAAACCGCCCGCTTATGAATTATTCGCTCTTCCTGTGCCATCCCTCTCTGTCCCCTTTCCCCATCGAATGGCTCGTGCTCGCAAATGTCCAACGTTGAACAAGAGGCTGGCGATTTCGGCCAGATTTCGAAATCCGCGTGCCACGAAAAGATAAATGCCCCCTTGAAATAACATAGAGAAGGAGAAAATCGTTTCGTGTGACTCATCCTTCCTCTAATGCACACTTCCACTTCCAGAAACATAATAAATCGTTCGTGTTGAAAGCGACAATTCTTGACGAAAAAAAGCAACTCTTTTAACTGACGTTCGGTGAGCCTGTATTATCGACAGATCGTTATGACATTGCATTCAGTTACTCTAGATTCTGACAAAATTCCATTAGACGATGAAATTGAATTATCAACTTCAAATCTATAACTGTTATATTGCTGGTAGGAAACTGCTCGGTCCCATGCGAGCCAATGATTGTACACGAGTCGAGAGCAATTAGATCGATACCTCTAGATGCCTCGTGACCCTTATTTATTCAAGGAAGCTCGCTCGAACCTGAGCAACGTTTCGTGGAGGTCAAACACCTGATTCTCGCGGTGATAGCGCGAGTTCGAGTCTTAACCGTGCAACGAAGTGGGACTCGTTCGGACGTTTTAAAAATCCCTGCACCACTATGAACCGCCTACGTTCACCGACTCGCTATCGTTTCGTCTAAAGTGTCGCTGCTATCGAGAAGGAAAAGAACAGCGGTACACGAACTGCTAGCATTGTGCTCTCGAGACGGGGAATTGCAACTGCGCGCGCGAGACTAGATAGCTTTAGATTCAATCGGTGCCCAAGGTAGAAATTTATTCCAGGCTTAAAATCCTGGTAGGCTAAAGGTGTCCACGTGAAGCTAGAGGCAGGCATGTTCCTCTTTAATCGATCAACAGTTATCGACGATCGCGTAAAATGGTCGATATTATAGCGGTCGGTTGTTTGTTCGTTGAAAAGCTGAAAAGTTGTTAACATCGGAACTTCTCTTGGCTAGAAAACCAGAACTCATTATACGTCTTGCAGGAGTTCCGACAGTTTTCGACGTTGAGTTTGAATTAGACGTTGGCAGCTCGTTAACCAGCCCTATCGACCATCTCCGCCCATACCACTCCGCGACCGTGTATTAATTAAAAAAAAAATGAAAATCTACGGGCTGTCCGACGCACGAGCCAGGTGTGTAATCTTTTATCCGCATGTTCTCCTTTGCTGGATACCGCACGGAAGCTACATCGGCCGAGCTCATCGGTTTCCGATTTTCTCATCGATAGCCGGCTATCCGCGCCCGATCCACGGCTCGTTCTTAAAAATGAAATTTCCTCGAGCCGCAGTGCGCGCGTACAGCGTGGAAATTAACGTTCGGCCAACGTTTCGTGTTATCCACGTTCGTACTGCCCCATAAAATACATCGATAACGAGTTTTTAATTAAACGGAACGTTCGATAGAAAAACAAGTTCGCTCGGCTCAGTCGAGGGTTCTCGATCCTTTCATTTCCAGGGGTAGTTGAATTAAAACATTAACTCCGTTCGTTTCTGACCACGACCCCGGAGTATTCTCCGCGGTCACAAAGGTGACATCTCGACGGTCACATCTGGCCAGCAATTTATCGAAAGGAAGACTAATGATCGCCGAGAGCGAGAAGAGGTGATAGCTTTGGCCACAGCATTTGGTCAGAGACAGATACACCGGCGTCGGTGGCGATCGATCGAGTCGAAGCCGACTAAAATATGGTCGCGGCAGCATTACCGGCCGTAATTACGAGCGGCAAAGAAAAATACCGCGTGTCATTACCGGAGGGTTAAGCGAACCTGGTCCGATTGATTTGCGCCATGAGAACAGCAAGCTCGAACGAAAAAGGAATAAGCAAGAACTGGTGGTGGGAAGGAAAAGAAGAAGAACAAGAGGAGAAGTCGGAAGAAAGACGCGAAGAGGAACGAGGGACGAAACGGTCGAGGAGAGGAATTACTCAGATAACTGAGAACGTGGAACGAATGAACGAAGCAAACGACGAGAAACGGGCAAAGTTCTGTGGAAAGGGGCGAAGAGGGAGGCTGTGCTGGAAGCCTAGGGTGAGGAGGACGGGCTCGCGTGCCCGGGCGCGAGTTCGTTTTGGCTTCCGGTGGCTTGCATGCTACGAATCCACTTGTATCAGCCTGGTCGTACGAACTCGAGACTCGTGGAGGTTCGATTACGTTGACTTTGCACCACGATAGCGAGAGAACCGTCCTGTCTATAAAGGTGTGCGTCGTACACGTGGTGCCGATAGAAGTCGTTCCAACCAGAATTCGCCCACGTCGCGAAAGCTAATCGCGCCGGTTGAATTAATTCCGCGGCTGAAAATGGCTTCTACCGACACGCCGGCAGTTTGCTATTTCAAGGAGGATAGGTATCGCTTGAAAACGGTTAACCGCCTCCTCCTCGATATACGTTTGGTATAGGTGGTACGTGGTCGTTCAGATTTCGATTATTGCCTCCCAAAGCGATAGTGCGAATCGTTAATGAGCAATTCGGGTTAATACTGGTAATAGCGTTATTGGGAGAATGTTTGGCGAACAAGTTGATTTTAATTGTACACGGGTATGCTTAATAATGTAAGACTGGTTATACATTGTTTTTAGAATGTATTACTTGTCAACTAATCCATTTGAATCAAAACTTGAGAAAAGTAAAGTATTGAATTAATATTTATTGTCGCTACGATCCGCTGTCACGCGGTAAATAGGCGTATCGTGATTCAATTATTATTATAGGTCGTCATAAATCTTATTCTCTGACCAAACGTCTTGACACACTCGTCGAGAAGGGGATTATAAAACAACCCAGAACAGTTTGTTTACTTTTTTCTCTCTACGGGTAACTTTCTTCCTCGTGACTCATAACACTAAATACTCACACTCTAGTACTGCATAAACTCTGTACCATTAAATAGTCTACACTTCCAATTTAATCACGAAGGTATCATTTCAAATCTGGATTGCTATCGATCGTCATTCTAGCCAGCTGTATTATCAATGAACTTGTCAAGTTACAAGTTATGCAATACTAATAAAATTATCTTTTGTCAATTCACTATCATTGATAAGTAAATTAGCCTTTCTACAAACTGTTGTGTTACTCCTACCCTTTGTTCAAAATCTATTCAATTTTCTTATCCCTGATGTGCAAAACGCTCTTTATTGAAAAGGATTGTTGAAGCAATTCGGACAATTTCGAGGAAGAAACACGGACAAAGTACATGTCGACGCGACTCGAGCACGGCTTTTTTATGATACTTCGAGCAGGGCTAGTTAAGTTAAATAATGAATGAAGATTGGCTCGGTCAGTGTGCGCTGGGGGTTGGAACCGGGTACCGAGCCACTTTGATGTCTGGCGGCAGCTACCGATTATGGAATCAATTATTGCACGCCACTCTCTTTCGTTCTGCGTCCCTTTTTCACTGACGAAGCGGCGCGGCTCGGCTTTCAGCCAGTTTCACGTCGAATTCATCCACTCTTCTCCCGCCGGTCCTAAAGGCCAGCAAACCCTACCCTATCTCTGTCTTGGTCGCGTCAGCATGAACGAAGAAGATTTATTCCGTACAGGAAGAAATTGCTCGGTCGTACGGAGAGTCACGGAGAATCGATTCCGCGAAAGGTCAGACCAGTCCAGGTTAAGGTCCACCCGCGTGTACAAGGATACCGCTATTATCGTCGTATAATCTACGCCAATTACCCCCAGCGTGTAAGAGTATCGCGGAAACAGGACCCTAACTGTCAGTACGTGCTTATTTCCTTCGGGCCTGAGCCGATCGATCGAGCTGCAGCTTAACAACAAACCGTATGATTTCGATAAAAATATCGATATACGCAATGGAGAAACAATTACGTCGAACACGAAGCTCGAAAAGATTCGAACAACTCGTTCCATTCAAGAGGATGAGGGAGTGGATACGACGGTTGTTCTCACGAACGCAATGGATAGGCTAATTATCGAAAATCATATACTTTATTACAGTTGATCAGCGTCTTTGGTACAAAAACGCATGTTTGTACGTAGTCTATCGGTAATATACAAACGCAAGAATGACGTATCGAAGACAATATTGGCACGATTCGGCAATAAATCGTCCATCAACATTGACTCTTGTTCTTCTTACTTTCCTTGATGGAAATCACGTAACGTTGAGCGACTTTTAAGGGCGGCGAGTATCCGCTCGCGTAGTTCGCGTCTTCGAATAAGACTTCATATTCCTCGGTGGCTGTGGTAGGTGACTGATTCACGACTGCCTTGTAGAAACAAGTCGTTTGGGGGTACAGTGCCATCACGATGGATCCTTTGGGGAAAAGAGCATGAGGATCTGTCTCAGGATTAGCCCTCATCAATGGGAGAGGCACCACTCTTCGCCTCGACAAGATGTGCCTATCCTTTTGCTCCTCGTCGATATCGTCCACTTCGTATTTATTCGTCGTAGGATTGAACTGGACTACTTCCGCTAAGATCCAGTCCTCTTCTTCGGAACCTTTCACGAAAGCAGCCACCATGTCTCCCATTTTAGCAATATACGTAGGCTCTGCTGGGATTGCTCCGCACAAAGGGGGTGGTTTCGCCCCTGATGTTTTGCCTACGTATAGAGGGAGCGTCTGCGCGGTGCTCAGTACCATCTTCATCAGAGCACCCCGACGAATGGTTTCTTTATTTCCCGCATTCCGAGCCTGTATTCGTCTCTCGTTCCTAATCGCTCGAATTTCATTAATTTTTCCTAATGCCTTACGCAGGATTTCCTCTTCCTGCTGGGAGTCGGCGATCGCCGCATTGAGATTCTTCAGCCTCTGTTGGTAATACGAGGATACCTTGTCCTCTGGCGTTACTTTCTCGTACGATTTCATAATATTATTCAGATTGTGCTCCGAGCGAACTCTATGCGTTTCGATCTCGTGCACCAGGTGATAGAGATTTTTCAATCGTTCCTGTATCTGAGTGGCTGCAGCATCTGCTGTAAACGGCATTTTGGATTGTTGCAATCGGTGTGAAAGGAACTCGTGCAATCGGGCCTTTACGTTTTTATCTGCCGCCTGTGTACCCGAATACGTACTCTACGAACGGAAATATCATTTGCATCTGAAACTGCTGTTATTATTCAGGATTGATATAAAAATTCCAATTTTTTTTTTTATTGACAAAAGTGTTCTAATACAAATTTAAAAAAAAAATTTACAGTTATATATTACATCACGAATATATGAATATTACAAAACGTATAAAATATTATAAAGGAAATTATATTAACTGAAGAGAAAAAAAAGGAAACGCTAAAAATTCTCCCGCCACAAGATTTGAACTTGCGACCTCTACGACACAAACTACGCACACTATACGTCACGCCATAACACTTATGCCGACAGTTTACCAATTAACCTTAGCTTCATTGAAACTACATGTAATAAATCATACTAATGTACATTAGTTTTAACAAATGTCATTACAGCAATGATACGTAGCAACAAAAACTTGTTTGGGGGGGGGGGGGACTAATTTCTTCCCGTGTAACTGATAGCAAACCGGTTAGACAGCCAAGTTTATGAATCGACAAGAGCATATCCGCAGACGGTTGTAATAAAATATATTAGTATATAAACGTACCTCATTCTGCAGAGGATCGATGTCGAGTTCTTCGACGTAAACCGTTGAATATTCACCTTTCTAACGCGAAGTTACAGGCGGCACTAAACCATTCCGACGTCGTGGAATCGACTGTGGGTACGCTTCTGCGCCATACTGCTTTCCCCCACCACTCTCCACTCAATATAACGCACAAAGTACGGCTAAGGTAGTGCTGCCATCTCGCGGCAAACGTTTCAACCAATCAGGCTGTAATAATTTTGTCCCTCGCAATGTGCACACACTTTTAGCCTGAAATTTCTCGTTAACACTATAACAACCGATTATCATCCATAGAAATTTTCACCAAAGTTCCATTAGGAATTTTGCAGAATTTTGTGATCTTTATTATCTATGAAAGGACTCTGAAAATTTTGTAAACTGATGTTACGCACGATGAAATTATAATACTAGTAAGAAAATAAGATGGTAAAAGTATTATATACGTAAATAAATGAACATAAATAAACGTATATATTTAAACTTATAATATATATAAACTTATAATTAATTTTCGGTGTGAATGTTACATGATGGCATTGGTCACCAGCGTTGAGAATCACATGACGTTACAGCAGCGTCATGGATCGTTATAGTCCTAATGGATTGTAAAATTCGCGCATGCGAAACGTCGCTGTTGTGAAACAAAACATGATGTAACTAGCGCGGGATTAACAATTTGATTTCACGAATTGACAATGGAAATAACGGTTACTCCAATGCACGAAACATGGCGCTCGGAACAAATGTGACGTTATTGTAGCTTTTCATGCGGCAGTCGGAGCCGAGAAATTGCAACGTTTTGCGAATATTTCAGTTTACGCGTGTTCCGATTCGAAATTTGCATAAAGCGCGCTCAGCCACGACTATTTCAATTTCGTCTTTCTTGTCAATACCGCATTGGTTCGTGTCTCAAGGAAACGAAACAATCTCCTGATAGTTTCATGTAAGAGAAGTTTTTGGTAGTTGTAGAGAACAACGATTTTCCGTGAAAAATGCAACTGTCACAGAAACAACGCGTTCTTTTCTTTTCTTTCTTTTTTTTTTTTTTTTTTTTTTTTTTTTTTTTTTTCCTGTTTCGTTTCTGTTTAATTTAAATTTCTTTAATTCAAATGCCAATCCTTTAAATTTTCACATTTTCAATTTACAATTACCATTCGGATTTAAAATTTAAATGTGAATTAAAATTTCTTCAATAATTGCACGATACAAATTCAGCGAACACCTGCTTCTATATTAATCCATAATTTCGCAACAAAACCACGCTCTACAGTACATTGTATAAACGTGATCGTGAATTACACAAAAGCGATAACGAAACAATCGCGACGACCGAATAAAGTGTTCGATAAACGGTTGAAAGAGTAATCAACTCGTTGGTAAATTACGCGACCGGCGATGACTCGCATAAATCAGCCGATGCGGAAAGGCTTTCTATCGTTATTGTTAGGTGGTGGGTGATGTAGCGGCCTCGGCTTCGCTCCGATCGTTCGTCAGAGGCGTTGTGCATCATCGTTAACGGCCGATGCGCGACGCGGAACGCTTATACGGTAAGAATCCTGTGAATACCGCCGCGCCACGAGAAACGAGAGATCGTTCGAGCCGCGTTCCAGCGTGAGCACACCATAAACGTACATAAGCGCAAAGCAACCAGGTTCTTACGAACTTCGTGACCTATTCGCAATGAGATGCGTGTCACGCGTACTGGCGCGTACGTGGTCCATACACACACGCACACGAACCTGAAATCGCAGCCGATTCAACCTGTTTCCAAGCGGCGCAAACAATGAGCCAGCCAGACCGCGTGGGTTGAAGGGTTATTTCGTTATTTTGGAAAATTTCCATTGGAATGTCCGCGTGTAGGATGGTTAGAAGCTAGGCAAAAGGATGGGATATAATTTGTTTGAACACAGAAGTGCAATTTCTTTGTGCGAATTCTTTTGCTTTTTGAACGCCGGAAAATGTAATTCGTCGGCACTTTGAGGGTATGGTTTTGTAATATACCATCTTTTCTAGGTAGTTGCAATAATCATTAGGTGACGCGGCACTGTATTGGACAAAAGGGCTGTACATAAAAGCGATAAATTATTTACACCTCGCTTATTTCTATAGAACAGAAGGCATTGTTCGCTCTGATTCTAAAATAGCCGGCAGCTTTACATACGTGTCATTAAAACTATTTTCAACGAACGATAAAAGTCAGTTTTAAAACGAGATTCTAATCGTCTGTTTAAAAAAGTCATTTAATACGATGACTTTGACGCATAGAGTACGTTAACTCTCCAAACATCGTAGTCATACATATACATGTACGTACATACATTCAGTCTTGAGAAACTCTTACTCTTCTCCTCTTCCTTTCTGTCTGTCTTTTCACTTTGCAAGTAATTATTACTCCCTTTGATTTATCCCTCAACCACGTCCATTTGTAATGAAGCCCCGGGAACAAATTATTTGCTCGTAAACGAAGAAAACAATAAATGATCCGACTTTATTATTACTGGATATTAAACTCTAATAGATTATCCCGGATTCGGTTGATCGATAGCGTCTGTCTTTTAACTCTCGCGTAATATTAATTCCGATTTTATTGCTGGTACTACTTTCCCACATACCAGCATGACGATCACGTTTCACGTGTACACATATAATCCCCCGTAGCCGTGCCGAGCTACGGAGTCTGTCTCACTGGCAACGATCCTAATGATCGAAGGACGTCGAAATTTAGCGGGACTCGTCAAACACGCATTTGCACGGTGGTTCTTGTAGCCTGTAGCATTAAACGTTGCAATGTTTATTGCAACACGGTGCTCGAGCGTGTTATGCAAGACAGATACACCGCTTGAAATCAGCAGGATGTAGCGGGAGGGCTCGTCTGATCTTATGGAGAGCTCGTCGTATATATCTCCGCGGCTGCTCGTGCAATTAGCGTACATTCGTACATACACGTACGTATTATCAACGACCATCGTCGCTGTCATTTTGTTTCTAAGCATTGATTTATTGTCGGCGTGGTTGGCAGGATAATTATTGACTACCTCACCGACGCGTTCCGCGCACTTTTCCTCAGCAAAATCGCGGGCTGATAAGCGACCACGGGCGCCTGCTCGTGTCTCGCGTGTTTTGCATATAATGCTGAGAAATTCATTTGTCTCTAAATATGATTCATAAGGTCTCCTCTGTGCCATTGAATCGCGCTGTACATGATAATTAGACATCAATGGGCCGGCGTTGCACGCCGATTAACAATTCAAATCAGCAAACGTTCTTACGACTTACTTTGCATCAATTAGGCATAAAATATTGTTCTAATGGCTGGACCCACTGCCGACTATGGTCTCAACCTACGTAGTAGTACGATTTCTCCGTTCAAATGGTTTCTCTTTGGAATCTCCATCCTCTTCTTAATTACCTGGACTCCCGTCGACATTTCACGGAATTTTGTTTCCTATAAATATTTTACAGACTTCATGTTAGCCGGCCGTAACATACGGCAAACGCCTGGTAAACGAGGAACGTTAATAGTCCTATTCTTGATAACTCGACACATTAATAACTACGAATCTACCGGCAAATGATATACGATGCTAGTCGCTCGTTGGTGGACGCGAAATTCTCGCTTCTTCGTCGAGTAGTCGGAGGACGCCGGCGTGAAAATCAATTCCTTTTTGCTCGACAGCCACTGGGCGGGGCCCAGAATGGGCCATTAAAACCAGTATTATGAAAGGCGACGAGCTTACCAGTCACAATCCGCGATATTACACTGTATACACTCGTACGTGCGTTTTCGAAACAAGGCGTCTAACGAGGCGTAAGGAGATGTCGGGCCCCGGGGTAGAATCGCGCACAATGCTATTCACTTTGCCACCCTGTCTGCCTGCTGATATTCCTTCCTTCACTCCTATCGACCAACGAACGCGGAATTGTCGCGTGTTTTCCGACGTCTAATTACAAAAATTTCAATCTCGTCTCGGCAGCATCTATTTCTTGACGTCTCATTTTCCACACGATCTCTTGCACAAGGATCTGCGTTTAGCGTGCAATTCCCAGAAACTGAACAACTCTTTGTCAATTCAACTTTTTTTGTCGATTTCCTATATCCGTTGACTTTTATTTCGTTCACGGTCGGTCGTACTCTTTCCAATCATTTCTATCAACAGTTTTTATAAAAATGGGAATTGAAATTAAGGCTGACTTCTGATCAGCGCGACTCAATTATTCAAGTTTCGTGTCGCGAGCGACGCGACCTGTTGTTCACTCTTTTGATTAAAAAAAAAAAAAAAAAAAAAGGAAATTCTATCCTCTCGTTCAATTTTTCCGAGAGGCATAAACAAACAATGGCGTTGTTCGACACGACACGTTCGCGGGGTAGCGGCATCAAAGAACAAGAACGGCGTCGTAACGCGGGGAAGGTGCGGACGCGGGTGAAATTTATCATTGCACCCGTGACATTTATGCGCGGAGCGCACGAACGAGAACAGTCTGAAAACACGAGGAGGGAAACAAAGAATCGCGAGGGGCAAAGAACGACGACCGGGATCCTCGGCATAAATCGAGGACGCGCGTCGAATAAGTCGCTCGGTTCGATCGAACGATGCATGGGGTCGCGTATCAGCTGACTCTCTCTCTCTCTCTCTCTCTCTCTCTCTCGATTTTCATCTAATATCCGCGCTTTACAACGGCTGACTTAACGACCTGTTGCAGCCGTTAATCCGACTACGTATGCCGGATACCGGCCGGCATGAACGATATTTCAAACAAATCCTCCGAATGGAAATGTCAAACGCAGCGTTTGTATGTTGTGTTGCCGGTATGTTTCGACGCGGAGTGCCAGGCCTACAGGAGGGCAGGAAGAACGAAATCACGAGGAATTCAGCTCGTAAATCGAATCTCTGCTCGACGGGAGAAGGGAAATCGACGCTTCGTGACCGGCCGGTCTGTTTTCTCCCTTTTGTTTCGCGATCGGCTCGTTTGTCAGGCGATGTTGCACGAGGAAACAGAATCCGCGTTCGAGCGGCTTTTCACGCGATGAACTACGCGCGAAAGGTGAAGAAAATTAGCATTCGAAACGTCACGATTTCCTCTTATCTTCCATCGTCGTGAAACTGTTTTCTGGCGCTTGCGT